ATGGGTTTGGGCTAGTTGTATAGCTCGTAGAGCGTATTTTCGGTTTGTTTGGCTTAGCCGTATGGCTGGTGGCGGCAAGCTAGCTTTAATACTTATTGGGATAGCTAGAGCTGTTTTGAATACTCCTAGTACCTTTCTATAAGCTGCGTTGTGTAGCAGCTGAAGCTGATCTTTAATAAAGCTCTGGTTGCGCCAATAGATTGGCGACCTATAGTCTGCAATGCTCGTAACGCATACTAGATATAGTTGTCTAATAGCAAAGGGGGATAGACTGTGGTCTATATTCGCTAGTCTCCCTAGTCTATTAAAAGCTGTTTTTGCTTGGCTAGCTCGAATAGCTACGTGTCCTTGAAAGGATAGCTTATTGTCGAGGTGTACCCCTAGCCACTTAATCGTATCTTTGTGGTAGATTTTCTCCTTACTAGGGAGCTCTAGGGGGATTTCTTTTCTTTCTTTCTTCTTTGTAAAGTGGATTAGCTCTGTTTTCGCTATATCGAACTCGATAGCTAGTTCTTTTCCTTTAGTAACTAGTTTCTTAACCTCCTGTTGTAGTATCTTAACGTTTTTCTTAATGGACGTTGATGAGGTTGTGATGGAGATGTCGTCGATGTAGGAGAGCTGAAATCCATCTATTTGGTGGAATAGATCTCTAATGTAGATTAGAAAGAAGATTGGAGATACTGGGCTGCCTTGTGGAATGCCCGCATTAATCTCGCTAAAGTCTTCTATTTGGCCGTCAAAGGCATACTGTTCAAAAGAAGGGCAGTCTATACATACAAATGATGTACTCAGAAGTTTCTATCAAGGCGTGCTGGGAATCAGATGAACAGCTGAAGGGAAGAAGCAGGATCGAGCCAGCTCCTTCTAACTGCTTGGGGACAAGACAAGGCCCACGACGGGGACGCTCCGTAGTGGTGGAAATTTAACCAGCCTCCATAGTCACACCATCCTCAGCCCCATAGCATGGATGTGCTGCTTCCTGCTCTGCTGTTGGTCAGGCCTGCTCGGCCGTTCATGGCAGCAACAGGGGAGGGGACTTAATCAAGGGGGTGGCATTGCAGCCAAGATAGAGACGGCAGGAGGCGGTTTTTGACATTGCTGCCTGCATCGTGTCCAGGGGTAGGTGAAGGTATATAAGGAGTCCGTATATCCTACCAGCTGCTCTACAACCATCGCTCATATTTCCCTCCCTTCATCGAAATGAGTTCTCCGTCTCCAATGCCGCAAAATCCTGAACTAAAGCAAAAGAGATCCGTAGGTGGTTCCACCGGAAAAAAAGTGAGTAACAACTGTCCCTCACTAAGAGTATTCTAACATATCCAAGTACGACGAATATGTGCGCGACACTGAAGCCGAAACGAGCTTAGACGAAGAACAATTTCAAAAACCAAGAACCGGAAAAAAGCGAAAATTTACACTGCCTCAAGCCAGAAGAATTGTTGGCGATTGCTCTACCACGGATAAACCTCCTGATAAAGTAGGAGACGTACCAGACATCAAACAGATATTGAAAGAGGTGAACCGCCTCAAAGGTGAAGTCAAGATATTGAACGATCAACTGATAAGACTACTACACGAGAAATCCATGTACGAAGAGAAATTGAAACAGTACAAGGAGGCAAACATGTTCAGGGATGTCTTTGGACAAGTATTAGCAGGAATACATGTCGACCTTCAGGACACAAAAAGAAATGTTCTTCGAAAATTTGAAACGGATATCCTTCAAGGTATCAAGGAGGTTGCTCGTCCGAATCCAGACTATGCTATAGGGAGCCATCAACAGCCATTATAGAAGTTGGGATTCTGTCTTATGATTTAGTGGAAGCTAGCCTCAGCAAAATCGTGATAAATTAGATGTTTCTCACGATATGAATCTCTGAAGACTTTGGCTAATGGTGCATCAATCATTCGAGAAGGCAATGTGTGCCCAACATACGGGTCTCGACAGCCGGCAGCGGTAGTCCCCTCGCCCTCCCCATTTTCAATGTGGTAGGATCGTCTACTGACTCGGAACACCAACTGCAACTACCGTCTCTGGTTTTATAGTCAACGAAAGAGAGCCAGAAATTCCTTTCTTTAGAAATCTCAAACATTCGCAACGCATCTCTCGAAAATGCCGTAGATGTAAAAGACCTCACTCTGACTCGCAGTGCGGGTGAATTAAAAAAGTCTGCAAAATCTTGAAATGATTACGGGATCATAAGAAAGAATTCTAAGAAACAGGGGAAAGCCCACGATGACAACACTCCATGATGATGAACGAACGTGGATTGCATATCGCTGGTTGTATGCATTTGAGTGTTATCAGGCTTGGTATGTAATCTCTTAATATACACATTTCCTTTCTCCCCAATACAATGTCGAGCCCATTCCTACCAGCCTTGAACGTATCAGTGGTGCTACTAGTTGAAGACTGGCTACTGTTTGGGGGACTGGTACGGTATGAACTGTACCACCCCAGACCATTCCGATCACTGCCGTAAACGCAGGGCGGATATGCGTGCGAGTCTTTGGAGATTGGTTTTATCGAGACCGCATGGGATGTAGAATAGCAAGACCATTTCGTAGTAATCAATGTTGAAGTTCATTAGGGAGTAGAGACGACTGATATGTCGTTGTGCGTCATTCGACAAGGATAGGCTTGAAGGCGAAAGACTGGGACTCGGCTTTATATCCTGGCATCCATAATCTTAATAACTAAATGGTAACAGACCCCAGCATAATTAACTCCAATATCTTTACTTCTCTTTTTAGTATCTGAATCTCTAATGTGCGTCCCTCCGCGACGGAAATCCTTGTGTGCCGGAACCGGCCAATTAGTTCGCAAGTTCTAGTCAGAAGTCCGTGATTCATATTCAAACGAGCTGATTGGCCGGTTCCGGCATACAGGAATTTCCGTCAAGCAATATAGACGTTAAGAGGGATACTAAGGCATATTTTAATACATGTCAACCCGCAAAAGCGCGGTCAATAGTTTAAAGGAGAAGATGAACGAATACCCAATTCCATACGTACTATCACCCTACTTAAAAGCCACTCTGCTTGGTAGTTAACAGCTGCGTATCTCTCCAAATAGGCTATAACTTTGTTTAGTCACACACTCAATTTTCCAAAGGTACGAGTTGCAAACCATCTCGTCTCAGAGTGCTTACTAGGTTAGTCTGAGGGATTAATATCAACTCATTCTATCTTTTTCGTAAAAATACCGTAGCAAAGCTAACTACAGGCTTCTCTAATTTTAAGATCAACCTCTGTTCTTACATAAACATTCGATCATAGTATTTCAAGAGATTTTCGAATGCCCTACAACAATGATGTATAGACAACGGAATATAACTTAACTAATCAGAATTTACATAGTATATTTTCCACGCGGACATCCTAGCTACCTAGTTACAGACTCTAAGTATACCACGACGCAATCACAAAATACGCAGAACAAAGCTAGCAAGGTGCAAAGATATGATGATGGCCTATGTGATATCACGGCTGCGAGTTAACCACCACTGGACCTGCCAGCGTAGCCGCCGTTAGATCGGTAATACTCGTGAGCCCTACCTAGGGTCTTAGGACGGCAAAAGCGGTGCCTGAGAGGCTAGTTAGCACCATCGTGTCTCCAAAACCTCCATCGGACAAGTTCAGTGGAGTAAATATAGGCTGAGCGACCTGATTTACCCAAGCCACCCACGCCCGCCTTCCCACCTGGTCGAGGGTATACATAGCGGCAGCACCCCACTCTACGTTAACTTTAGTACCGGGCTGCACATGGGCGGATGTACTATTATTAATTGTGAGCTTCGGCAAGATAGGTAGTGGCAGCTGCACACTACAAGATCCTGGCTGAGAATACCGCAGTGCGATGTTGTAGGCCCAAGCTGGAGTCGCCGGCGTATCAAAAGACTGTACACTCGCGTTATAGTGTGTGTGATCGCCGAGAAGAGCAATATACTTCGCGTCTACACTCGCAATACTCGACAGCAAGATAGCAACTAGCCGATCCGCCGCCTCCGCCATCGACATAAAGACGCCAAGATCGATAGACTTTAGCGTAACCATAAGGAAGCTGAGTTCAGTCATATTCTTTAGCAAATCGTATTTACACGATGGCACGTCCATATTTCCTGACTGGATGAGCAGCGTCCGTAGAGTATCCAACTATGTCTGCTCTTACTATTTAGCGCGTACATATCAGCAGAAATTCCTTAGCAATGTATAGAAGCAGGATGACTTACCACAGCAATATCTGCGACTAGGCTGGCCAAACCCCCTTCTTCCTACCTCGCGCTAAGTGAACTTAGCTCAACTATCCTACTTTCATTGAATACCCAAACACCAAGATTCTTCAGAAAAAGCGCCAGTTTAAGAGCGTCGATAGATAATGGAGACAGACTAATTGTGCCGTTCCGCGGGTTCGAATCCATTCCTAGCAATACTCCTGTGGGTTTATAGAGTCCTGCCGAAGTAGAAGTCTGCGTACTGGCCGGAAAAGTGGTTTCACTTCTAAGACCTATCTGCGTGGGTGTGTTACCGCCAGGCGAGAGTCCTGCAACGCTACTCACCCCAGAGATATTACTCGTACCAGCTGTAGCAACGGGAGTGCTAGGTCCTCCAGTGTTAGAGAAAGAGCCTGTAGGCAGAATGGAAGAGACAGCATCGCTGACTCGTTGAGTAGTGTCACTTATGTCACTTACACTAGGACCTACGATGGATTGACCAACACTACTTATACCATCTGCACCAGGGCTCACGGTAGGCTAGGTAGAGCTAACAGAGAAACCGCCACTACTGTCTACGATTAGAGTGGCGGGACTGTTAGTCTCTAGCACGGAACCCATAGACTATGTACCATCGCTCGCTATAGGGACAATAGAGCTAGAGACCGCCACACTTAGGGTAAGAGTAGAACTAATTAACCCGGAAGCGCTATCTGTAGGAGCGTCTGTAGCATCTAGAAGAGGCGGTGCGCCTGTAAGACGCGAGACAGTTGCTGTGTTTACAGATCCGCCAGGACTGCCTGTCGGCAGCCCCATCTCGCACATAGTCAAGGTCAAGGGAGTAGTAGTGAGTGTCATGCCACTGTACATCATGGTGACTGAGAGTTATAAACTATCTGTAGGGAAAGGAGTCCCGGATTTGGGAAAGCAATATTGCTCGACAACGGACGCCGCAGAGGCATCACTAGACTGTGCTTCACTGCGACCCCATAGGGCGCTGACAAAAAGTAAAGCAACTGGTGCAATCATTGTGAGGTGCTTTGTGAGCTTGTGTGCTTCACTAGGAACGGAAGCAGTCTCATATAGCTAGCTCTATGACTGCGAATATCACTACAAGCATCAGCTATTTGCCAGCGAACTGATGACACCTAAGTCTATTTGTATAGGCTCTTCTATGCCGCTTACTAGTGATACAAGCTTCCAACCGAGAAGCAGTACGTGCACGGTTCGTTAGAGAAACACGACGATCAATCGCTTCGCACGACGCGTCATTCACTACACACCATCTCACATGCCGCCTGGAGTGTCATCTTGGTGATGACACCCCGTACTCGGCATATTCTCTGCGCAAGCTGCTCATGTGGCGTGAGTAGTGTACCCTTGCGGAGTGAAGGCATATGAGCAGCTGACGAGGAGACACATTTCAGTAGCGTAAAGTACACAGCTTCACACTAGCCATTATAAGACTATAATACAGTCGCTAGCGATTACGGCTTCACCTCCGCAAGCAGCATTCCAAAAGTCCAGTCATCATAAAATTGAGGAGTGACCAATAGTATCGGTTGTTCTGTAGCTGACTTCTCGCACTAAGCTCTCTATGGAAGGTGGGGCTGTTCGAAGACGCTGCGCAGCTGCGTGTAAGGGTGAAGCCGCAATCGCTAGCGACTGTACTGCGCAATCTCCATCCATCTATGTGGTGGGTGTGGATTGTTCGAGTCCAACGCGGCTTGTTGACCCTTCGAGATTTGCTCGCATGAATCATGGTTGACACATGGATATGACGACTATCTTACAGTACAATCATTTCTACAGTGTGGGTCGTATGCTTTTCCTTGTTCTGGTAATAGCACTTCCTACCCACTGCGCTTGTCTGCGAAAACTTGGCTGTGAATCGACTGTTATAGGCCGAAGAGAGTCAAGAGGCCGCCAAATTCATCAGAGGCTTGCAGAGGGAAAAATTTAACAGAGGCTTGCAGACGACGCCACTGATCCAAGACGACGGGATGGCCTGAGTGATGGTCCAATGGGCTGTTCGCACGCTTGCGAAATTTCTGCCCGCTCCTACCTGTGCCGCTTGAGCAGTGTGATTCTTTCCGCTTCTGTTCTTGCAATGTTAGAGACGCACCGTGGAAACAACTAGCCTGGGGCTGGAATTGGTGCAATAGTGTGGCACAGCACCCTGATAATGCCGATGGTAATCAGGATTATGAAGGTAACATGCACGGCGCTGACAGGTAGTACAACCTCGGCGTGTTAGCGCGTCTAGTGTGCTGTCCCTCGTCCAGGACAGGCAAGTGTCACGACAACGTGTGGCACAAGGCCCATATTTTATTTCATCAGTACAGCATGTGAGTGGTGATATAAGCGCGCGGCCCCGGACCTGCCGAAGCGATGAGCCCCGGACCCAGACGCAAAAACGGAGGCTGTCACGCTTGTCTCTAGCGGGTAGAGTTGCTAAGTCCATATGCAACAATTATCCCGCGGGCTTGCAGGATAATTCTCCAGTTGCGAGGTACCGACACAATGGATCGCACGTGCACGGACACGACACCACCCACCCTCGATCGCGCGAAGCCGCCGTGCCGCAAAGAACCAGGAAACGAGACGACGGCGATTCCGGATGGTGCAAGCAAGGTATTCCCATGGTTTTGCCGGCCTTGGAACGCAGAACTGATAGACTCGCCGCGATAGCGAGCAGAGGCTGACATACACAGTGATGACGTGCTCAATAATGGTGATGACGGACAATGAAGTCGTGTCGGCAGGCGTTCGGCAGATTCCCCAGCTTCCGTGCGCGGCAAACGCCCATGACGCAATCACCCTGATCCACGTGATCCACGTGATCGTTCATGCATGCGCGCGTGTGCATCGTAAACATAATGCTGACGCTACGTCTGTAGCCATAACCGCTCAGCATTCCCGAAGGTAGCACACAAAGCGCTAGGGTTTTCATTCGCATGTCATCAAAGTAATGCGCATCACAAGCTCCCCCTCTGTTAGGCCCTCCTCATTGTTGTATGAAGATCCATTGTTGAGCCCATAGTCGTATCCACATTGCACCCCAATATTCTTCTTGCAGAACAAGGTGCCCGATACGGTGTTGCGGCACAGTCGACACGACAAGGGTGACAGCACAAATATCGAGCTCCCATGCTGTTCAGTCATCGTCTTCGCTGTTGTCAGATGCCACCATGAATCCTCCTTACCATCATAATGACTCCTTCTCCATGTTGGGTAACCACCTTTATCCCGAGACTGGATTTCTCGATACCAGCAACATTGAGCCACAGGTGTCACCCGTGGGCGACCGTAATGGCGTAGCACATTCATCCGGGTAAGCGATGTATCCGTACTCTACTTAGCATTCGTGAATTCGGAGATAGCAGCTGACCCGTATTCAGCGATCTGTCGAGGAATGACGCGCCCAACTCAAGCATCGACGAATCATCTCCCGCATGGCTGGGACTGCTGAAGCAACAAGTGCAGTTAATGATTGAGATAAAAAAATCGATCTTGAGCAGTCAAGAAGAGATTAGAAAATTGCTCTTGAGCAGTCAAGAAGAGTCAAGGAGGAGAGAGGCAAAGTTCACGAAGCAATTAGAGGATTTGGAGCGGGCCATAAGAAGATTACAAGATCATGTCAAAAACCATGGATCGGAACCACCACAACGAAGACCATACCCGTACCCTAACCCTAACCGGCCAGACAGGCATCGAGGGCCTGTTCCACCTCAATACCCTGATCCGTATGGTTCTCTTTCTGCACAAGAACAGCTATGGTATGTCCACGTCGATTGAATTGGCCTTCGAGTCACTAAGTTTCCACAAGGGGCCCAAATCTCTACTAAAGGCATCGCGTATTTCATGAATCTTCGCAGAAGCTATGGCCAACTTCATGGCAATGTAACTCTCTCACTATGGATTTGCGTCGTAGGGTTAGCGCATGCACAAAGCTTTTGCATATCAGCCTAAGTAAGCGAGCAGGTGACGCACAGAAGACAGAGGGGATAGTGATTGTTCAATTGCTACTGAGGCAATATAAATAGAAGCATACTTCGATTCATTACAGTATCTAAACCACCCGACCCATGGCATTCTCCACTTGTGCGCTAAGATGATTAATCTCCGCTATAAACCTATGCTGAGCACGGAACCTGTATATTTGCGTACTAAGTGACTCGATCGTATCCGCCATGATTTTGTACAATTTGTCCCGAACTGCGGCCAATGCATTCGGATTGTAATGGATACTCAGCATGGACACATCTTGCCGTACAGCAGACTGCTCTGTTTGGTGCACCCAGTTGGCGAGATCTTTGAACTTGGGTTCGATACGCGCGACAAAATCTTGCAAAGACTGCTGAACACGTGCGTCTTCGACGCTAATCAAGAGCTCATCAAGATTTTGTTCGATATTAGCCACGCGCTCCAATGGAGTGAGTGATGGCCTGGGTGGATTCGATCCTCTTCTCTCGACTTGGATGTCCTCAGCCAAGGCTACTTGGGCCCTTGCCTCTGGAGATCCAACCGTGGTTAGTTCCTCTTCTTCTATTTCGTCCCTCATTGTGTTATCTAAAGGTGAAGCCTGTTGAGCAAGTCTCTGCATCTTTATCTTACTGTATCAAAGTTAGAAGGCTCTTGAGCTATACCAAGTAGGCTTAGACTAAACACATACTCTCTGTATCTTCTCTGCGCATCTCTATTGCACTGTCTGCGCGCTTCCCTAGCCTGGGATATAGTTTTGTACTTCCAGTTCGCCATAATGGATTGTCAAGTAACTCGTCGTAATGCAACGTTGCCACATGTGATAAATACTACACATTTACAGGGCGAACCAAGTGCCGCATGAGAATTCAGAGCCATTCTGAGCATTCTGTTTCCACTGCAACCTAAGCTGCAAAGATAGTCAAGTATAGTGGGTCTCAAGAATTAGCGTAATGGGTCATAACATAGTCAGAAATTTAATCCGCAAGCCGTGGTGAGCGTAAGCATAATCAGTTTGAATCACGGCTACAGCACCATGTCAGTCACAGTATGAGCCCTCAAGCAAGCGGGTCTTGAAATTTGGCGTACGTAGTGGATCTCAACGTCCCACTAATTTGGGAGACGCTGGTGGGGCAAGCACAGACACCCCCGCAGGTCCTGGTCGTCACAAAGAACCAGGCATAATGCATGCGGGATATAGGTGCTTGCACTGCCGAACCAATGACGCATCGAACATCTGGGCGGCCAGCTTGTTGCCGACCTAATGCCGCTTCGTTAGAGCATCTTCAGGAAATCTACTTACGCGTCATCAATCATTTGTGGCTCTAGACTGTGATCTGTCTTTTTAATGAGGCTCTAGAACGTACTTCCCTATTCTCCTTCCCTTTTTTCCCTGGATATCCAGCAATCACGCTAATGCAGCTGAAACTCCAACGCAAGATATTTCGAGCAGGAATGCGGATCGCACCAAGGATAACATCGAGCGGGTGTAGTTCAGAGCGCCATCACTGCCCATTGTGGTCTGCGAAACTGTGCTTTGAGTGACCTATGCTGATGCATGAAGCCCACTTCATTCATTTGACATTCGTGTCCACGCACGCGTCAGCAGTCCATTAGAAGACGGCTAGATATCTCACTGCGTCCGGACTGTCAGCTGTGTAGAAGCACGCTGACCATCACAAGCCCATGCAATCTCGAGAATGCTTTAGACTACATGATTGCCTCGTTATAAGGTTCTTCTCGTCTTTGTGCCAAAATCTGTTTACGCGCTTCTCTTTCACTACGTAGCGTGTCCAACAACCTAAATTGTCTCAATCTCTTATCGATATCACTGCAAGATCCAACATGTCTAACCAACCTGAATCCCGATCCCGATCCCGATTTCGATATGAATCGCCTCCCCCTACTCGAACGGTAACACACCAACTCAAGCAGCTGAGACGACATGCAATGTGGGCTCTGGAGGATATGTTTCACGAGACATCTACTATTCACCGCGTTCTTCTCAGCTACACGGTAGCAGTTAGCATGGTTGTTGAGTATCTAAGACTAGACGATGCGGACTCTCTTCTGTCTATCTCGCTAGGAGTGGTCCGGCTCGCCGTTGTAATCGACTGCATCTTGATCATCACTCATCATCTTATGCGTCTGTCGGTATCAAATCGGACGCTGGCAGTCATCGCATCACAGATGCCTTTTGTTACCGGACCACTTGCCGAGTTTGAGCTCACGAGATTGCTGCTCAAAGAGAACGCGACTGTCACGGCCAATACATTCCTGGTTGGATGTGTTTATGCGAAGCCATTAGTAGCAGGGGCGCTTTGCTTTGCCCTCTACAACCTCCATACTGGAGGACCTGGGATGCAGTCATACACCAATATTCTTATGAATGTGTCTAAAGTTTTTCTTCGAAGTGGGGCCTTGATCGCGCTCTTCACACATGCAGTCAAGCTTGAGTCGCTGCCACTGCTAAGGGCTGCTGCAGGAGACAGCCCGTGGCTATCTCGGGGGGTTCCTGTCCTCTTTCTCTTGTCCGCCGGTTTCACTTGCTATTTTTGGTACTGGCATGCGGAAAGGTACCGAGACACAGTAAGCAAGAGGTACAACACTCACAGCGATGTTGAGTGGGTGGTACTGCTAGTCAGCTTGGTCGCGCTGAAGATCGTGGCCGCTCATCTGGTATACAACCTATGGAAACAGATGCGAGATGCGGCATGGATGGCGGACCAACCCATTTTTGCGAGCAGATCTTTCGTTCAGTTTGCCATTCTTCCTCTCGCGGTGACTACTGTGGACCATCTTGCGGACGTTAGCCTTGCCTACCGTGGTGACATGTACTGGCCGTGGGCGAGCCTCTGTCAGTCCACTTTGCAGACGTTCTTTTTCATCAGGCCATTATTCACGCTCGTGGGCCACGACCTGAACCCTCAGAGCGGTCGCATTGGTATCGCACTGTGCTTTCTCAGTATTGCGCTGTGGTTGTCGCTGCCGGCTCATTCACGTAAGTCCTCGCTACAAGACAACTGAAGCAAAGTAACTCACAATCGCAGGATTCCTTAAAGGCTCCTTTCCGTTTCTCATGTACTCTGTAGTGTTGGCCGTGTGTCTTATGTACCCTGACTGCTTCGAGGCATATGTATTGTAGTATAGGCTTGCGGGCTACAGCGGAAGGTAGGGATAAGACTTAATACATATAGCGCATGATATTTACCTTGCAAAACTCATTTTGCTTTGTGATTTCCAATTTTTCATATGCGATGACATTCCACATGCTATGGCACAATGCCAAAGCCCAATACGAATGCAAACGAGCAGGCAAAACAGCTATGTAAACAAGATCTTGATTGGTAGAGAGAGAATCTTGCGGGAGCCTGAGTACAGTAGGTTGACAAGGTACCAGTCCCTATCGGGTAAATCTAGTGATTTGCCATAATATCACACATGCTGCTCCAATGACTTCCATACAGCCCGATACCCGCACCCGTTGCTTGCATTCTCAAGGCGTTGCCAAACTCATGGCACCGAGCATGGCTAATTACTCGTCCCTGTTGACACATTCGACCTTTTCCTTCCCTTGCTTACCCTCATCTTTCTGTGTACCCGCCGTCTCCGTACATTCGCAGGCAAGCCCCTCATTCATTAGCTTGTAGCCCTTTTCGAACGGACTAGTGTACACAACCATTGTTGGTGGGCTCCATCGGGGGCTCAGCGATGTATTTGAAACCTGTTGCCCAGCGATGTCACCGTGGCTCTGCACGGGCGTTGAGTAATCGCTCTCACCTGCTAATGCCGTTTCATACTGGCACTGCTGCGTGGGCGCCGTCCGATTTAATTTCTGAAGTGTCGTGCGCTGCTTTGTGGGAGCTTTTTTCTTGCCACGAGATTGGGCTTTCTCTCTGCCTTCCTTTTTTCGGTTACCTAAAGCAGCGTGAGAATTGCATTGTATCCATCAGTTTCGTAACGTACGGTGTTTTTGTTGGGCGATACGGTTTTGTTCCCTGCGGCGTGCGAGATGTTCCTCTGCAGATGTCTCAACCAGCATGGCATACTATTGATCTCGTAGGAGTGTTGAGATAAGTGTGTGCGAAACATAGTTCTCTTAGCTTCATCTCTGTTTTTTCTATTGCTGTCCCTCGGCGCGAGCGTACAGTGATTAGCGATTGCAGCTTCACCCCTGCAGGCAGCATTATAACAGTTTCGTCATCTTTGAGACTGAATATTGACCAATCATGTTCAGCTGATTGCTAGCGCTAAGCTATGTACAGAAGGTGGGGCTGCTCTAGCATGCTGCGCAGCTGCGCGTAAGGGTGAAGCTGCAATCGCTATCAACTGTATCGACAATTTACTGCGCATTATAGTCAGCATGCAGTTTTTCATGATTCCGGATACGTCACTACAGTTGAAAATGACTATTCTACTATCGTAGCTTGTGATCGTCATTACGCTGGACTATGTGACTCGTAGTAGGGGCAGAAGCGTAGCAGCCGCTATAACATACTCAAAAGCGGGTCAGGCATATGCGTAAGCAAGAGATCACGACCATCGTGCTGGCGAGCAGAGCTCAGAACTCTGCATGTTCCTGCAGAGCCGCTGATCAGCTGTCAGCATATAAAACTTTGTCAGCTGCTTATTACAATGACTTAAAGAGCTTCCAAAACAGTGCAGGCTGTGATTTGATTGGCAATAAGAATCTTGATGGCTATTCGTCCGATATCTGCCAAGCAGCCAGGGTGTTAAAGATACTTCTTTGGGATGGTGTCAAATCTCATGACGAACACCAATGCTGGCCACACCGCAGCCAGCCACCAGCTATCACTACCACCACTACTGCCAATCAGTTTTATAGCTAGCACTCAGGCAGAATCGGGGTCAAAGAGCATCTTCTCCTTAAAACAATACAACATAGCTAATCGCATGCCTCTCTTCAGTGCCGTTTACGGGCTATTAGTGTGCCTGTAATATTGGAGAATTAAATGTAACTATACATATTACGTAGGTAATGATTCATTAATCCTATACACGAACGAAAACATTAGACACACGGACAGTCCTTCGGGCAGCGACTATCTCTTGTCTCCTAATGCACGCAAGGGACGATATCATGGATGGCCTAGTTGCTCTATCACCGGAGAACGGTGTACACCGATAGTAACCAGCGGCCATAAAGGGGCGACATTCAATACTGTGGTAGCGTAGAGCCTACAGAATCAGATATTTAAGTAAAGGTAAAGCTTTGTAGTGCTTGCTTCGTTTGAGCCCGTAACCACTCGCGAAAATAAGATTTGTAAGCTACTTCTTCTACCATTATAATAAGTGGTAGCTTATATCCAAATGCAGAACATGTTCGGCATCCCTATGGGGCAACTTCTTTACGGTTGCGACAGAAGCAACATCATGCAGCCCAATCAGCTGTTGCCTCGGCTTTAGCCACGACCTCGTCGACTTTCTTGAACCTAGGCCGAAGCAAAATCTTGAATGGAATAGGGCTCCGTCCACTAACATCATTGTACTTGCTCAGGTCGATAGGCTCGCCTGGCACTTCTGCCATGTCAAATGCCCATAGCATCTTTGCTACGGCGAGCCAAATTTCACGTTGGGCAACGAGTATTCCAGGGCAGATACGTCGACCAACCCCAAAGGTCCAGTGATCGCGCATACGCGGATTAGCCAGTCTTGCGGACTCGATAGAAGAAAGGCCATCATTGAGGTAGCGGTCAGGCTAGCAATTTTCGTTAGTCCTACCATGATGTTCTTACGAGAGCAAGGATGAATTACATTGAACTCTAGGGGGTTGGACCATCTTGCTGGATCGTGATGCATGGTCCACGTATTCAGTATCAGGGCCGACCCTGCTGGAATACGCTTATCGTTGTACACGAGGTCTTGGCTCACCGCATGTGGAACACCCAGCCAGAATGGATTGTGACAGCGCTCCAACTCTTTCACAATGGCCCGACAATAGGGCAAACTGGCTTCGTCTCCCAGATTGGGAGGGCGGCTGCGGCCAACAACGCGGTCAAGTTCTTCATGATCCCTCTGTCGTACGCGAGGGTGAGAGGTATTATTGCGCTAAACCACTATATGATCAATGCTGTCGTAATTACGCCATCCAGCATAAATGCCGAGGCCAGCATGGTCATGTCTAGATCATCTAGCTGGTCTCTTTCTCGCCTAGTAATCATGGTTTTGACTAAACAATTCTCGACATGCACATCGTTCTCTATATCATGCTGAATCCGCTTGACTTGACGACCGTATATGTCTACGAGTGTGGCGTGCAGTTCCTTCCCGCGACGCTTCGTTTCCCATGGGACGTTTCTCTGTAGCCATGAGGGGAGAAAGTCAACTAGGTTGGTCATAGGGCCAGTCATGGTCATGAACTTGCGCGAGAGGTCTAGGACTTGTGAATCCGTGGCAGGAATTCCAAGAGAGCCGAATGTGATTGCGCGCATGCAGTCGAGCGAGCATCGATTAATGTGCGCTTCGGGATTTACATGCTCGCCATCTGCACTGGCTTTGTACAGCGCTCGAATCATTTTGGTTGTCTGCGAGTCGAGGACGCCAATATGCTGGTTGACGTCTTGCCGCTCTAACGAGATTACCGCTATCTTGCGATGTCTACGCCTACGTGTTGGATTCAGTATCAGGCTGTGATCAGGAAATTGCATAGGTGAACATAAGCACACGGGACTCACCATATGGCCCCGTACGAAGTGGACGTGATACCCCTGCCCTTGAGTATTGTCTGGCTCTTGACGAAGGTTTCTTTGCGATCGGAACAGATAGATCTTTTACTAAGAAAGAGATCTTTCGCAATGTCAAGATCTGACGCCACGACGAAGCGCTGGTTGCCGACCATAAACGAGTAAAGCGATCCGTATTTTTGAGCCCACCTATGCAGTGTTCGCTCAGGATATGTTTTCAGGAAGGTGTAGCATCCTGAATCTTTGTTAGACATTCCAACACGAGCAGCGGGACAATAGCAAGGGCATACCTAATAAAGGGTAGCCCCGAGGGCCTTCCGGCAGGCCGTTAGTAGCGCGGCGCGAACGCTCCCGCGTGACGATGGCAAACAGGAAGCCAATTGCGACTGTTAGATAAACGATCCACATGTTCCAGTGCACATAAGAGCGCAGTGGCTGAATGGCCCAATAATGCATAGAGCGAGCTACTTAACAAACGGCACTTCTTAGCATAGCGTTTCCCTGCGCACACGCATGATGGTGTTTCCGTTCGTCCTAGCATGCTTTCGTTTTAGTCTGTGGATACTGTGGGAGTAGCTAAAGTTCATCTCCGGCGCTGATGTTGCCGATGCCATTCAGCGCTTTGGCTGCATCACAGGGTCTTCGTCACGATAACGCAGATGATGACCTGCCATAGCTGTGATGGACATGAGTGCCAAATTACCCTATGCAAATGCTTAGGGCCGTTTTAGCGTTATGGGACGGCAATCCTGCCTCATCTGTCCTGCCTATTAGCTCTTGTAAGCTGCTTATGGGGCAGACGGAAAGCAGGTCTTGCGAGACATAGTACTATTAACCGAGCCGCAATGACGCTTTGACCGCCTGGCATGAGCGATGTTCCAAGCTGCTTACGGAGCCACCCACCCCTGGTCAATATCCCCAACCGTCGTTCGTCGTCATACTCAATGTGCCACATTGGGCTCATGTTCGCGTCGCAGAACTGTGCCGCAGGATCTAGCAGAGCAAGAACTCATAATGGGAATGCTCTATTTGAAGACATTACCTGCCTGAGGATAACAATCAGGAAACAGTCAGGATGACTTACATAACAGTAAATTTTGACTATGTTCAGTATTCTAAACGCGATGGTAGGCCCTATTTCCAGGACCCAAAACACCCGATGTGGATACAGTTCATAGAGAACGGCGAGTGGGTATCAATTCATGTGTTGTGGATAAAGCCGTACGTTTTTCTACAACATTTTTCCCCTTTCGCCGTACTGGGACTAATTCTAGAAAGAGAGATCATGGACGAGAACATGAAAAAGATCGTGGAAGAAGCGAAAAGACTGCTTCCCCAGGAAAAAAGCGCGACCGAGACAATTAATTCATCTCAGCGTCCAACTTTGCCGTCCCTCCAGTCTTACCATGCGGACACGCCGTTAAAAGCCACGCATCACAACATAGCCACTTCGTCGCAACAACGACTTCTTCCCGGACCGAAATCGGACTCATCGCTATTCACACGGAGAAATTCATATTCTCAAACTCCTAGAGAAGAGACGCAGCCTGGACCGGTCGCTATCGATGGTCACCATCCGAGATCTGATTATTACAGCATGTCAGATAAAACATTGCACGGACGTGGAGGTCTACATGCGGTACCTATCGTCGACAACGAACATATCAACAATCAGTCAACAGCTGTACTGCCCAGGTGTTCGCAATGTATGCGTACTATGTCTTAGCAAGTTCCGTAGTGAAGGGCGACACGTGTGGCCCTAGCTTTTTAGCAGAATCTACATAGCGGGCTAAAGAAATATCAATCATATTTGCGATGCATCATAATGTACTGCAGGTGGAAGTGACTTGCTCTCATGGTCAATCGCTATTGGACTTATGCAGCAGTGAAAGGCTTTGTTGATGCTGTCAACCTAACATGCATACATTGCTACTTCGTAGCGCATGGCGCCCATTGCTTAGGAAGGATAAGGCAAAGTTGTGAGAGCAGGCTGGATTGCGAAAAAAAATTGATCTAAGTGGGCTGCCATCCTAGCGCCTAATCGTTCCGTAGGCAACGTCAACGGCTGTGAAGATCCCTGCAGTTTGCGTCGCGGCAGTTCAAGAGCAAGCGCTAGCGGCGACTAAACGATGGCAGCTTCCGGTTTCTTCACAGACGCCCTCGAATCCTACGCTAGTGGCGACTTGCTCAATTAGTACTGGTTTCTGAGCGCCTTGCCGCTGCTCTTCTATGTAGATACCCAGACTAATGAATCCATGATACGGAGCACAAATTTATGTGGCAACTGCTTATGCCCCATAAACGCCATTTTATGCGTAAGCTCTTTCGCAGATCTTGACTTGCGCGAACCATGTAGAGGCGGTACTGCTGAATCTGCAACATATTGCAGCACACACAACTTGTCTGCACAGAGCTATCAGGATCAGTCCATGCGTAAAATGCAGTAGCAGTGGCATCACTCCGGGTCGCCTGCCATTCTGATCTGAGAGTACTCCGTACTGGGCACAGCCTCACATAAGAGATCCCACGAACAACACGCCACACCCATTGAAATTAGAGCTAACACCGATTAAGCTAGTGAATTGGGGCGCCACTATCCTTGCAATGTGACGCTCGATTAATCACAGCTGCTTGAGGGAAGCAGTCACAGCTCTCGGTAGATTGAAATCCGCGACGAAACAAGCGGCTTTCCTGACCAAAAATGCCCGACTTGAACATGGATTTTCAACGCCACCACAACCCAGGTTCTTCTAATAGTCAATAAGGTTGATAAAAAAATTGGCTAGTTAACTACTAGGTTTCACTATGTTGACGCCTTCGTAAAATATAACAACTACTGTATTTCTTCATATAGTAGCCTGCGACGTAAACCCAACTAGGTGCGCCCGCACTTTAGCAGCGGGAACCGTGCGCTTTTTTTTGGGCTAGGGATTGCGATTGAGCGAGAGTACAGTTGTATTTCATCACGAACAACATAATAGACAAGCACCTCAAGGTTAAAAGTGGACAGCAGTCTCTAATCTCCAGAGTGTAGTAATTTAGCTAAACTAAATACAGGTCAGTCTGGAAAAACCCTCTACTTATAACAAAGAATCCGTGATATGAACAGCAAAGGCTCCTAACTTAGAGGTGGTGGTGTTCTTTGATCCGTGTCTGGCTGCACCGTCCTACGCTGTAGTTGCAGCGAAACCACGACCAACATGATCTGTCAGGTCACGCGGAGAATGAACTTTGCGCCAGTCAAACATCTGCTCGCTACGGGTGATAGAAGTTCAAAAAGTATTGATCATCGGGTTTCCCTTGTTATTCCCTAGCGTATCGCGAACAAGCGATACCACTCATGTAGTACGGTGCGATGAAAAGTTGGTCGATAAGAGGACGTTGCAGTGCGTGGGATCATTGCACGGAGGGTAGTTTATTATGCATCTCGACTTCATCGTAGCTCGGCATAAAGCAGGTGAAGCAATGCCACAATTCCTGTGCGGAGCTTTTCCACCAATTGATGCAGACACAACAGTTACAAGCCCAACACGGCTCTGTCTCTACCAACTTGGGCGGACTAGAGATTGCGGAGTAGATCGCTTGGCTGATGAGTTCGTACAGATCAGCACTGATGTGTACGTTCCAGTTGAGAAGTGCCAGGAATTGCTTCTCAATCAGATTGACCTCCACGTTCGAGAAGCCGGCGAAGTCGTATTCAGGAAAGCCACTGCACTCAGCCCAGCAAGTGTTGTTTACACTATCATCGTTATAAACCTTGTGCGCCAATATCAAGGCAGCTAGGAAAATGCGGTGAGGAGTAGACGGCCGCATTGTGACACCTGTGGGGGGTAGGCGTTCCTGAAACCGTGAGAGATACACGACACACATGATAAGTTCTGGAGGTGTGGTATAGGAACGTGTAACGACGTACAATATGAAATCGTCAATGGAGGGAAGGCAAGTTTCCTCTACTCCAGGCGCAAACGTGCATGAGCGTATTGCGACCATGGTTCTTTCAGTAACATAGTTAATGAGACTAGGTAGTTGGCTAGGTTCGTTAGGGCCATACGACATGACGGGCTGGTAAAAAAGAAGGAATGTGTGTGTGGGCTGATGAGAGGGTCGGTGACTGTAAATTCATATAGCCTTGGGAGTTTGTATAGCTTCATAAAGGAATCTAGCTGCAACACTAAACACAGTGCTGTTTGCATATTGTTGAAACTACAGCTTCATGGAATTATGTTGGATACTCTCAAGCAACGGCCTGTAAGCGTAAGTTCGTTCCTTTAATATAATTATTTCGAGAAACGACCGTGCCCTGTCTGAAAGAGACCCTCGGCTATTATCCGTAAGCCGACTGGGATGCTGCCCTGCTGGCCCGCATTTTATGCGCTTTTGTCCCTTACCTTACGCATGTGGTCTTTTGTATTTGCCGAGTACTTACAGGTCTTCGTCATTTGGTGAAGCTCTTTTCCAGTGTGGCATGCCAACTAGGAAGGGTAGGTAGAATTAGGATTGGCCACTGGCGCCTGTAAGAACGCACAGGAAGCTGCTCCTTCCTTCCGCTAGTGGCCATCAGCAGCGCATTTGGGCCAACATCAGCGACGTCTCTAGTTACATATCAGTTGAAGTCTATTCATCTTACAGCCTATTGTCTCGTTTTCCGGTGGGTATCAAACACATAGTGGCCCTAAAGAACCCTTAGTGCTTTTTGTTATGGCAAGGCATTAGACTTACTACGTAAGCACTAGTAGTGCCTTGGCCACCTACTGTAGTTATCATGCTCCCACAAGATCGTTTCCCCACCAATGAAGCTTTTGTACGCTTAATTGTTTGGAAGAGCAGCAGCGAAGCTCCTAGCATAGCTTTGACACGCTCGAATAAAATTCAGACAAACATCGTAACATTTTTAGTCATGAATAGCTGTGTAGCGCAGTTCGATTCTTTTGATGTTATAGAGAAGGGTTAGTTAGTTATCGGTTTCTCGCTCGTGCCCATCTCTATTCTGTCCGCTATCAAGACCTGATTTTTCGTACATAGCTAGGACTCCACGGTGAAGTATATATATTGCTAAGTCATACTTCCAAGGCATCATTTATTACTTGAGGAACTACGGAAATGTACTATGTAGCTTCGATCAACATCGCGCGAGCAATACTTTAGAGAAGCTCTCGCAAGGTGGATCTAGTTCTATCAAGTGGGGGTGGCTTATACTTGATCGATTCACTTGCATAATCTAAACCTCGCCCCACCACGGCAAATATCCTGACTGCAGTCTGTCACATACTTCCGGCAAAGCGCTGTAAACCACTGTCACCGTACGATTCCGTAACTTCTCCCACTCGTGCACGTGTTCCATGACGCGATAGTAACCCAGGATTTCTTGTAAGTGATTCTACATGAAGCTCTGAGCAGTGGATATGCGTTCGATCCGGGTCAGCTTCGCTATGCTGGCTGAAATGGCGGTAGTGATGAATCTCAAAGGGTCGGCCGCCAGCATTGCCTTCTAACTCCGAGATCTTCTGCAGTAGGCGGTTGAGTAGACGTTTGCTTTCCGCACATTTCGGTCTTCTGCAAATCTGCGCACTCCACCCTGGTTCGCGTGAGGCATTACTGGACCGGTGTTTCTCACAGAGTAAACAGCGGTTCTTTTCGTCGGTAGGTTTCATGTTATTCGCAAAGAAAGCAGGACTATTGAAACAGTCCCGTGAGACCAGCTCAAAGCTGACAAGGCCTTTGTGCTTGGTTAGAAATACGACACATTGTACCTGCTGCGACTAACGCGACGTGGAGTTTTCCTACTTACAGAACTGTGATTGATTGATGCAGTTTGAGTTCTGATAGCAGCGAAGACACTCGAACTTGGCCAGAGAATGAATAATATGGTTTGAATGATCCTAAATGCTGACGCTCAGCTAGAAGCAAGTAAGCAGACTTTACTGATAGATTGTATGGATAAGGTGTACCGACGGGTAAATTAACTTTGCAATCTAAATGTGTGCGTAAGACCCAAAAGAAAATGCCTCGCCGCTTAGGACGCTCGCGTAATGCGCAGACACAAGGAGCTGTCAATATAAGCTTCAGCGAACTCTTGTTCTTATATGCTCACCTAGCAGCTATCCTAAGATCCTAAGACCTTGTGGTCTACATGAGTTCGTGCGCTTTACCGCTGTCCTTGAATGTGCGAAACTTTTAACATCTGCTCTCTTAATCTTCAGGCAGGATTAGGTCTCTGATCAAGCTGATGGCTCGGCTTTGTTGTATAACAACGTATTGAATTAAGAGTCATATACAGCGCCGCGTCAAAAGTTCGTGCGCGCTCCTGCACAGGCCACCATCACCACTTTTTTTGCAAAACTTCAACGCAGTGTACATAACTAGTTACACCAAATCATATCTAAAACTCATTTTAAGATATACAAATTAAATCTATAGTTCCTAATATTTTATTTAATATCCTCTTGCCTTTCGTACAGCGTTGACGCGGCGCGGCATACTCGTAATTAGCTTAGTGATTAAAGAATTAGGTATAACTAGCTAACTAGTGTAATGGGCTGCGCCTGTGATGAGTGAAAGCACGTGATTGTATCACGTGCCCACGCTACACCACCTGGCTATAGAACCTTACTTGTACGAAGGACGTAGAAGTAAAAGTATAAAGAGAGGTGTTGTACAACAACTTCACTCTCTTCATATTTCTTCTTCTGTAGTATAGGTCAATGCATACTCGTTCGAAGGCCTCTTCACCCCTAACAACTAGGCCTCGCGCAAGCCATTTTCGAAGACCTCCTACTTATCCAGTAGCGGAATCCATAGGATCCGGGTAGGGACTCCAGCACCCGGATTCTGTGTACAGCCAATGGGAGCTTACCGCCAAGACCGAACCCCTAGCCGAGGCTGAAACAATGAGTTTATCCTACACAAAAAGTAATAACAAGACAGCGCTACAAGAGGCGCGCAGGCGCGCCTCGAGTAAAGGAACGAGGAAGAAGAATCAATTCAATCCATCCATAATTATCACAGATTGTTATCACAGTTTTACACCCGTTTTTGAAAACCATCACAATCTGACATTAGGTAAGTAGGGTGGCTACTCGGGCCCAACGGCTGCTGTAGCAGAATTTCAATGAAATTGCCCGTGCTCCGCACGGGCCTATCACCTCAACGATAATATCACCTCAATGATAACGATATTTTTCAATCGTAAATTTAAGCTAAATAAATACAAAAATATAATTTTTACAATTTCAGAAATCAAAGACACATTAACAAAGCACACCCTAGTCCGATATTATCGAAATTGGGCTATTGCAGTAGCTGCTATCGTCGCTGTCGCCGCTATCACTTATATCGATTTTACCATCCACTATAGCTTTACGAGCCATATTAATAGTAGTATCGACCTCAATACACGACCCTGTAGAAGTAGATTCTGCGTAGTCTTCTTAAGTATACTGAGTAAAGCATTCTCGGTCCTGTGACAGCGTAGTGGATAGTAAAGCTGTAGTAAGATGGTGGCTCGTGAGTTTCGTATATGGATCGACAAGCTGACGAACATTATACGCCACCCACATAGCTGGTGTACGGTCCGTTGTTATAGTACCCTCACGATACTTGGAGCTACTATTTTGAAGTATTAATTCCCACTTTCTTAAGGCCTTAATGTTATAGTTACTATCGTCAGCGTTAATATATTGCCAGCGCGTAATATCGCGCTGCGTTATAATACCGGCTGCTATACGCTTAGTATACTTACGGCTAAAGTTCCGTATAGTTGGGAAGATACGTCTCTATTTATTGAAAATAACTATAGCCTCACGAAGTCGCTTCGTAGCTATTTCCACCTTAAGACGAGTGAGGTTATTGACCTGGCGCTGCTGTACCATCTGCCGCGCGTCTTCAGCGTATATTACGCTACCTTTACTCTCTATAACCCGCTTCTTACGACGTCTTCGCTCCTCCTTAGTAAGGATAGCAGCCTTAGTCTTGTGCAGCTTACGCTTGAAGCCCTCAGCGTTGCGGGTAAGAGCTGAGACGCCACGAAGGTAACGGATTATGTCGGCCGTAACCTGATGGGGGAGGTGTTGCTAGATTACGGCGCGAATAAACGGCTCTTGTAACTCGATCTGTCGTACAGTTTTTGGTGTGTGCTAAGTAGCGTCGCCAGGCTTAGGATCCTCAGGTTCTGGTGTTGCACCTTGTGGTTAAGGCCGCCGCACTAGCTGTGCCGTCTCGAGGTCGATTTTAACGCGGTGGAAGCGTCGCACAGGCGCTCGAGATGGTGATGAGATAAGTGGAGGCGGCGAGGATATATTAAGAGGTGTACCGGCGCGCTGTACAAGTGGTAGTGGTGGTGTAGCTGAGCGGTCACTATTGCTAGAGTAGCAACCTTCTTGGGTGCGAAGATGCGCTAATACGATCTTAGGTTTATACGGTATTATGCCCGTACAGCGCTAACCTGAGCAGATTGTAGACTTTGTAAACGTTAAGCGCCGGATCTCCTCTATTGTAGCTATAAAGTCGGCCTTGTTAATGTCGCGCGAGCCTGTACGAGAGGCGTACTCCAGCGTCTTGCCGTGATACTACTTGAGCGGTTGAAAGTAACCCACATCTAGAGGCTAGAGGAGGTGGGTTGTATGAGGTGGGAGGGCAAAGAGCTGTATCTTATTGTCTTTAGCAAACTGATAAAACTGCTTCGTATAGTGAGATTTATGCCTATCTATTAGTAATAAGCGCTAAGCTCTATGGCGACTACGGCTTGTCACCTTGTTGAAGTGTTGAATCTAGGCGTATGCAAGTTTGTCGTTACTATAACCACTATTAGACACGCCTACAAGATACTCATTAGGTAGATCTACGATCCAATGCTCTATTATAGTAGCAGCTTTAACGATGATAAGAGGCGGAATGACCTCGCCTGTGCCCCGGACACACTTAATAAGTGTAATAAGCTCGCGATTGTTGGCGTTATAGATAAAGACTGTATGTCTATTTTTGGTGTATAGGTACTGCTCTTTTGCAATACTAATACGGCAGCCTGTCTTATCTATATTATATATATCTTTAGGTAAGATACCGCGCTCGTCGATAAGGTCTTTAAGCCTAGTATACTAGTTAAGAAGCGCTGCTGGCTCCTAGGTAAGCTTACGCTAGACCTTAATTAACTTTGCCTTTACACGCCTATATTTCGGGTGCCTTGCGAGCCATCGTCGTGCCTAAAGCTTGCCAACCTTAGGCGCAACTTCATCTAGTCCTGCATACGCATCCTTAAGGAGTGAATTTGCTTGCTGCTCAACTAGTCCACGATAAATACTAAAGCCAATATTATCGATAGCATTAAGGTACCGCTCAAGAGCGAAATCTTAAGACTTATTAAGCTAGTATAAAGCAGGTGGCTTAGCGCGATTACAGCGATTCGAAAGTCCAAGATAGGCGCGTCGCAGGCGCTGATATGGCAAGTTGTGGGTAGTTGCATAGCTTTTGATATTAGGTTGATAGAGTAGGCGTAACGCTTCAGCGTGCTTTTGCAACGCTACCACCTCTTCTTTATATACAGACTTTCTCCGATTAATCTTAGGCATGTTAAAAATAATATGCGTATTCAAGTTTATTTAATTATACATTGTTGTGGTGCATGTATATACTAAAAGCTACGTATTATCATTAAGGTGATATTATCGTTAAGGTGATAGGCCCATGCGGAGCACGGGCAATTTCATTGAAATTCTGCTACAGCAGCCGTTGGGCCCGAGTAAGACGATTGTTAATACATTCAACTGTTTCGAAAATGGAAATCTACTCGATCTTCTTTGGCGTCTTTTTGGGTTTGTTTTTGCCTACTACAGGGAAAGCATTGCAACAGACTTGGAGCATATGGCAACGCACGCGGACCTTACACAACGCCTACCTCTACATGATATGGATAGACACGATAGTGAATCTCATATTTGCTGTCATGACGTATCTGTACCTATGTGGAATTATCCCGCCAAGGTCAGTCTCTTCTATTGTTATGTGGCAGATCCCATACATTTTTTTCACTTTCAAGAGCCTTAACTAACTATTATTTACAAGTTTTTGCTTCTATCTCGGTACTGGTAGGTAGTGCACCCAAAGAACCTCCAAAAGTCTAATTAACGTTAGCTGAACTTGACAAAATATAGTAATATTATGGGCGTTACAAACACAACTTCTTCCGCTGATCATTGCTAATCGTGTCAGTCTGATTATAGTCGACAAAAAGAAAGCCCGGTTGCTCAAATAGGTTCTCTTTATAATCATTGGCATTGTCAACATCTCTGTTAGTTGCATTTAGATTCCTGCGCATATAAAAGTAGGCCCAACTTTCATTGCCGTAAATCTCGTCTGGGAACGGGTCGAGAAGTCTTTCTTCCTTATCGTTGCTTTAGCACTCAACATATATTTCTTATACCTGGTACGATACCGACTTATCGCCAACGGATTAACGAAGTATATGCGACTTTTCCGGTTTAATACAGCAATTGTGCTCGTTTCCACGTCCATAGATGTATTGCTTTTGGGACTATTAAGCTTGCCAGACGGCTACAGGTACATTTTCTCTCCCATCATTCATAAACCTCTTCTCTCATGCCTGTATTCTAGTTTCATTGACATTTATCTTTTGCGCCGAACTCAAAACTAACATCATTCCTCAGTTATGTGCAATTTGCCCCTGTTGCTTATATCGTCAAACTTAACATCGAACTTTCGATAGCGGTTCTAATTTCAAAAGTTATGCGCAGTAGTTCTGACAAACGTGATGGACGGTATGCTGAAGGAAACCATACACTGAACAGCACCCATATCACGAACCGCTCCACCGTTGGATCTCGAATACCGCAACAAAATAGCACCTAGTCTAGTACGAAAGTGAATGCTCACGGTGAGACCGCAAGCACTAATTGGCCCACATCTCATCATAAGCAAGATCAGCATCAGGGCATTGTGACAATGGTGACAACTTCGGAGGTTCCCGAGGATAACTGTATAGACGATAATTCTGAAGAGGGTATACTTAGGACAGTGACGATGGCGGTAAGATCTGACTATAGAGAAGATATTGAGGGTAGAGAGGACTATAGTTGTAAAGTGTAGGATAGTTAATAGACTGGGGTTAGGTTGTCTTATATAATACCCAAATCCAACTTATACCCCCCCCCCCCTCCAACCCCCCACGGCCCATGGATCCCTTCCATTAAGGCCTCCTAGGGTCCAACATTCACCCCCCCCTGATAAGGGGGCTTAGTTCCCCTTATATCTACACCTCCCGGCTTATAAGCCCCCGACTAGAGGGGTACTCTAGACTACTTCGCTACTTTCACTACTATCTTACGTAGATACGGAGTACGCGGCGCAACGCGACGCGACACGATAGAACATAATACAATATAATATAATTAAATAGAATTATTCTCTCTATATCTATATCTATATCCATTGCCTACTATACTTACTTATCTACCTACCTACTACGTTCTTATTTGCCGCGAGCATCGCTGTGCTATTCGTGGCGTAGACGAGCATCTTAAGCGCCAACATAAGCTATCAATAGTAGAGAGAAGAGCGCTACTAAGCGCGTATAGTAACCTCTCTCTTCTATCGCTAGACTAAGTGCCTCTACCTACCCCCTACACACCACCATTACTAGATCTTAGCGCGCTAGAAGATGCACTAATCTGCTATAATATAATATGTAGCTTTATTATTATAAGCCGCAAGTACATATAGAAGCATGTAAACTAGTAGTATAGTATCTACCTTACCCGCTAGTTAACTACCTTAGCTATCTCGTACGCTAAGCACGCAGCCTAGCTATAGAGGCCTATTAAGGTACAGACCTTTTTCCGAGAGAGGCGCTATGTGCGCTACTTTATCGTCCAAGAGTAGAAGTAGTAGTAGCAGCAGCAGCAGC